GAGCGGACAGATGTTGGGTGTGTGGTCCTGTGTTTTGTTGGTGTATATTTAACATACTTCTAATCGCTATTTCAGTCTTTCTATCTTTCTTATTACTTCTCTCTGTCTCTATTTTCTCTTCACTTAAAAAAACTTTTCATAATAATGGTGTGGAGAGGATGCTATAAGGGGAGAAGGGAGGCTATCAATAAAAAAAAGACATATAGTTTGGTTCTGTTTGATGCTCTATTGGTGAAAGGGTCCGCCCTTTTAGTTTTGTTACAGTGTAGATAGGAGATGGCAAACCCTGCTGTTTATTTATCATTTTAACGTTTTAGCCGGCAGGATGTTCTTCAGGTTCCCCAACAAACGAGCAGTTTTTTATTTATCTATTAGTCTGAGGAGTGTTACCTTTCCACCATGTTGCGGACATGCCACACACAAGGAAACGCATCCCTGAGCAATGTCTTATAGTTTCGGTTGAGGTCCCTGCCTGCCAAAGAGCAACGGTAGTTGCCCACCACCACGCCATCCGGGTTCAGCATTGGTACCACCTGCAGGACCACAGATGGGAAAATGCTGAGTTTTTAAAAATATCACATTACTGTAACCATGCTTCACTTTAGACAGAGTTGTAAAGTAACTAAGTACAAATACTTTGTTACTGTACTTAAGTAGAATTTTTGGGTATCCGTACTTTACTTGAGTAATTATTTTTAGCCTACTTTTTACTTCTACTTCTTACATTTTCACACTGTTATCTGTACTTTCTGCTTCTTACATTTTTTTTAAAAAGGCAAGAAATAGAAAGTTGTTACTTTTATTTTAGTTTTACTTGTTTTCATTGTAGCTTCTTATTGTAAAAAATAAATACTATCTATATAAATTGTGACCCATCATATCGAAATGAGGATTAAGTCAAATTTGGTCAAAATGACCTAATTACATTTTTAAATTCTTGGCTAAAGTTTAAAAGCTAATTTTGATACCTGGATCATCCTGTTATCATAATTAAATCCATATATGTGACCCAATTTGTCTTGTTGGTTACAATAATACATAAATATTTGGTCTGAATCCTAATTTTATGTCATTTTAATGAGGAAGTTTGGATGTCCTTATAAAGAGGAAACTTCAAATTATATTTGAATATTGAGATTTCCCAGCTAAAAAGAAACAAAACTTTGCTAGCTCACAGGGAAAATCTTAAAATTTTAAGGCGTTTTTCCTCAAAATCAGGTACTTTTTGCTACTGCTCAAAAAAGTGCTTCAAAACTTGGTGTTATGATTATATTTCAGACACTTCATTCAAATATACATTGATAAGACATTTATTCATTATATTTTAACAAAATGCAATTTTTGTTAACATTTTAGTCAAAACGCTATATTTGCCATTTTCTCCACTTTTGGACTTAATACTTGTTTCGATGTGAGGGGTCACAATTGTGCCTCCTAGATAGAGTGAATTTAATGGTTGAATGAGAAGTATCAATATTTAAAACTCTGATASCSTATTAGTTTGTACACAAACAAATCATGTCACACTCCAGCAGGACATAATCATTAAAATAAAAGGACTGTACTTAAGAAGTATTTGTATTTCATGAATTATATTATTGCATTTGGCCGCAGCCCTCAGATAGATTTTCATTTTGGGGAAAAGGTTTTGTGCAGCCTTGATATATGTAAATAAACTGAAACAGCTAGACTAGTGAATCCTAAATTTAACATAAATAAGTTATTTTAATACAATATAGTCATTTCTGCATTGTTTTGGGAGGTCAGCGCCAAATAAATGTCCTTACAGAAAATCTAACTGCTCTTTTTAAATCAATGCTTTTACTTTTAACACTTAAGTACAAAAAATATCAGCTACTTTAAGACTTTTACACAGGTAAAATTCCTAAAGGAGACTTTTAATTTTACCAAAGTAATTTTTTGGTAAGATACTTGTACTTTTACTTGAGTATCACTTTGTGGTACTTTATACAACACTACTATCCAGTGTTAAATAAAAAAAAAATCACAATGAGAACCTTGAATATAAAATGATCCCGGAGCACTTGGGCATCATCGGAGTCACCAAGCAAAAAGTCAAGGAAGCCCTCCATCACCCAGGACCCGTTGGTTTCCCCGGGGTGCACTCGGGCCGTCACAACTACAGCTTTCTTGTTCCTGATGTGGGGCCTGTCGGCCCCCGCGGACGTTACGGTCAGGACGTACACAGAGTTCCCTGCCAGGCTCTGGCACAGGACCCGCACTTTACAGAACGACGTCGCCGCTGGCTGGGAAGAAATACGCCTGAGGTAGCGCTGCAAGTGCGAGTAGGTGTACGGGTAGCAGTGGGCCAGGTAGCAGGTGTCCGAGTCATGGGGGAACTGAAGAGTCCAGGTGAGTGAGGACAAGGTGGCCGACTCGTCGTTCTCCTTTGTGTTCTAGTCAAACAAAAAGACAACTTTTTAAAAGATGGTTTGTGTGGAAAAAAAAAGTCTGGCAACATGAGGTTACAAACAACAGCTGATGGAGTTGTTACCCGACAGCTGTTCTGATAGTATTTGATTTTGGAGCCTGTGCGTTGCCATCCAACACTGTTCTCCTCCGCAGCCCGCTCCGAGTACAGGAGAGGCCTCATGCCCTGAGAATACAAACTGCTGCTCTTCTTCAGGTTGACGATGGTGAAGCGGTACGTCACTCCGGCCTTCATGTTCCTGACTCTGAAGTAAAACCAATGACTGTGCTTTGCGGTGTACATGTCAGGACGCAGGGTGAGCTCATAGTCATAGGTGCCCCTGAACAAACAAGAAACTAAATTAGAGTCACAAAAAATTCATGATACATTATAATATAATGACAAAAAAAAAGAGCAGATGCAAATTGATAGGTTACAGTGAGGAGACTCACACTTGGATGGCCTTCTGGAGGTTTCCACTCTCAAAGCGTGATTCAAACTCAAGGGTGAAGTCTGAGGGACTGACACAGGAAGCAGTACTCTTTATAGGACCCCTACTTCCTCCAACACGAGAGCTAGTGAAATAGGGATACTTGGTGGCTTAAAGGAATAAGAAAGAAGAGTTGGTTTTAAATCCAAAACTTAAAAGTTTTCAAATATGAGCGTTCGGCGTTCTTGAAAACAACAATTTTTTTTATTAATATTTAAGAATTGAATGYTAATTTTCTGCATACAAATACAGATTTCTGCAGTAAAATCTCTGGGTCAGACGATTTGTCTTGAAACCAAAAATGATGAGATATAAAATGATGACTCAACACTCTGCTTTTCAGCAGTGTTGTTGAAAGTACAACAAAGTGATACTTGAGTAAAACTACAAGTATCTTACCAAATATTACTTTGATAAAAGTTAGTCTCCTTTAGGAATATTACGTAAGTAAAAGTCTTAAAGTATCTGATATTTTTTGTACTTAAGTATTAAAAGTAAAAGTATTGATTTAAAAGGAGCAGTTAGAAATGACTATATTGTATTAAAATAAATAATTTATTAATGTTAAATTTAGGATGCACTAGTCCAGCTGTTTCAGTTTATTTACATATATCAAACCTTTTCCCCAAATTAAAAATCTGTCTGAGGG